AAATCAACTCAGCAAACCTAAACAGGAGAGTTTGGATTCTACAGTTAACGGATTCGCGACTCTTTGTCGAGAACGATATAAACGTTAGCACAACAGCAGTGCGCCTATTGAACGGGCAGCTGCCCCAGTTATAAATAACGTCAAAAGTTTATACGCGATTATAAAACCTATTTCACGGAAGACATATTTTTCTGAAACGCGCGCGTAGTGCGAACATTAATAATATTCTTGCAAATTTTCGAATGGAATCAAATAAGCTGTAGATTCAGCGAATAAAAAAAATTTGTTTTAATATAAAAACACATTATTTTCAGATAATTAATTTTTATAAAAATTTGTCATACAAAATTACATGCTCGTAATGTAAAATATAATAATTTACATTCCATAAAATCGGAATATATGTAATAAACAAATCAGGGCCTCTATTCTTGAAAAGAAATATACACGAAAAACTAGAGAAATATTATAGTATACGTATATTATTAGTTTTTCGTATACATTTTTTTTCAATAGGGGCTCAGATATTTTTACAATTAGTTTAGCTGAATTTCTTGCACGATTCATCTTTTTTCCTTTTTTCTCCATGTTGGAGAGAAAAAGAGAAAAGAACCGTGCAAGAAGTTTAGCTAAAAAGAACAAAGGCCTAATGTTTTACATAAATATTTTGCAAATTTATTTGCAACATTTTTATTAAAAGAAGTACTAAGATAAATATTTATAGGATTTCTAAGATAACTGTTGAGAAGAGAAATATTTTCTAAGTATTTCATTCTGGCGCCCATAATTTGAAAGTTCTATCGTACGAACTAGTTGCAATAAACTTATGATCGGGCGATACATCAACGGACATGACTTTTCCATCGTGACCTGGTAACATCTTAAGAGGTTGCCATGTTTTGTTGGACCAAATTTTGGCTGTGTTATCATAAGATGCGGTAACCAAATATTGTCCTTCTGTTTTTTGGTACTTCACGTCGGATAGCAAATTGGTATGTGCTGGTATCGTGTATATGCAAGTTCGCTTTCGCAAGTCCCATATCTTGCAGGTATTATCCTCGCTTGCTGTCGCTATGTGAAAACCGTTTGGTGAAAAATCGATGCCGAAGATGGATGTTAGATGACCCTCCATAAACATTATGCATCTGCCGGTACGTAAATCCCATACTCTGCCGAAAGAGTCTTGACCGCCTGTTGCACAAACGCTTCCATCGCATTGAAAACTAAATAAAAACACGCAATACACAATAAAAATAGATCAATATGACGAATTAAAAATAGATCAATATGATGAATTAAACAACATATGAGAGGAAATATACCTAATACAGTGTACTGCCCTAGCATGACCTTCTTGGTGAAGTACTTCCGCTTGTTGTTCCAAATCCCATAATCGCCAAGATGCATCGTAACAACATGTGCCAAGAAATCGTCCAGATGGATGGAAAGCGATCCTGGAAACTCTGTGAGGTTCATGTCCTTCCACCTCTGCTAATGGTTCTTCGCCAGTACCACCGCTCCATAGTTTTACAGTACCTATTATAAAATTTAACATAATAAAATGACATTATCATATAATTTTATGTGTCATTTATATTTTATAATAATATGTATCTGTTGCATACCATCTGCTGCACACGATGCCAGCACGCAAGTTGGTACTGCATTATCACCTACCACATCTTCGGTTATTGTAGCTTTTGGATGAAAAACAATACAGCCAACATTACAATTGTGTCCGTGTAAAGTGCGCAACAAAGTACAGTCAGGTACAGACCATAACTTGCATAAGCCTGACCATGAAGCTGTAGCAAGGATTTTTGAATTAGGGCTGAACTGGCAAAAGGAAATGGGCCTGTTGTCACCAATTTGAGAACAATATATGCTTAATGCTTGCAACTTTTTCAAAAGCTCTTGTCTTTTTGCTGTACGAGTTGCAGCTGGTAATAGTAGATCTTGTCTTGCCTTATCCAATCGTGCTTTTGCTCTGGGCAACGAATAAGCTGCAAATATATAAAAGTTAAATAATGCTTGTATAAAAAAAATAAGAGATATGAACACTTACATTTTTATATAGATTTAATTCATGGTTAGTAAAATTTTACTTTTTTTAAATGCATACCAGTAATAAAATCCAGTATTTTCCAAAAAAGAAAACTGAAAAACACTTTTCTATTAAAAACTATTTATTTTATTGTTTTTAATAGAAAAGTTTACCAGTTTTTTTTCTTGAAAATATTTGATTTTGTCATTGATATTCTAATTCAGTATTCTAGTACCACCAGGTATCTCTTTAATTGTTTTTCAATTCAAGCTTCGTCCAAAGTAAAATCCATAAAAGGTTAGGAATCAATGTAACAAATAATTTAGTTCTTGTCACAAGATATTGATAAACTCGAATCAGATAAGTAAAAATTTTATATTCTGTTATTATTATCTTTTATTTCTTGTGAAACTGTAATCAAAATAAAAATTAATATAAGCTTTAATTACATTTATTATCTCCAAAGTTTTTGTTTTAAAAAAGTATTTCACATATTAATTCGAATTAAAAACGATTCTATTATAAAGTGTTTTATTACTATTAGTTTTCTTCGTCTTTTCTTTGAAACTATTATGATTAATATGATTTACTAATTAAAACAAAATAAAACATATAAATCTATCTCTTTTTTAGTACTAAATATTAGTTTTATTATAGTTTTTTCCAATTTGTTCCATTAATAAAGTCCAAGACCTCGAATTTTTTCCTAATTTTTTCTATCTATTGGATTTTCCTGGCAATTCCTGATTCAAGTATAATTATGACTCACATGCTATCCATGATCTTGCAATTTGCAAAGAATCTGGTCCCTCGTGGTACCAAGTCGACTCTGCATCTTTTTCAAGTGGATAGGATGGTTTTTCTTCTTCTTCGTGTTTCTTTTTAATAGCATCCTCTCCCACGCTAGCTAATAATTCTCTTAATCTTGTCCTTCTATCCGCTGGACCTTCTCCAAAGAGACAAATTGGCTCACCCAATTGTCTTAAATGTTTCTTTACTTCAGAGTCATCTGTAGAAACATTAATTTGTCTAGCCTTTTTCCTACGTTCAAATTCTTCCAATAATGCCTGTCGATCTTTGGACATTTCATCCTCGAGCTCCATGTACTCATTCGAAATATGTACATTTCCTCCTGAGACGGAAACATTGGTGACATCGCTTGCATTCGTGACATCCTTTTCTTCATCCGTAGTTTCGACGGCAGCTGCAAGTCGTGCACGTTCTGCTTCCTCCAAGGAGCCATAGTGAACAGTTTTCTGCTTCTTTACGTAAACCAAATCCTCGTCGTCGGACATTTTAAGAGGTTATAGGAGGTTATGATCCTCCTATTTTAGGAGGTAATCTGCAATTCCTCCGTTTTATTTAACTACAAATATATTGCACAAATTATTTTGAAGCGAATTTACGAGTATAATTTACAAGCAATGAAATATTTTGAGAAGTAGTAAAAAAAAATACTGATTGAAATACCGCTGTAGAACATCACAAAGCATTTCAAACCTAACCTAACTAATTTATATGCAGCATTTTATTGCTGATAATACTTACGTTATGTATAATCAAAATATAATCCGCAGCTATTCGCAATATTTACACGTATTTAAAAAAATTTTACAATGCATATTTTTTAGACGTTTACACATCATTTAAACAATACTTTACGCTACTCACATCTCACACCTCCATCCGCGTGATTCGTGATTCGTATTTCAGTCTACACTTAACAGTATTTAACCTTTAATCTGGTATATCACAGATGATCGATTTGTATCGAAACGATCGAAATTTGTTTATAAACAAGGTTACCAAAATAATTATAAAAATAATTTAAAATGTATTTATCTTACTTCTCGCATAAATTATTTTATTAACGTGTTAAAAAATTTCAGACAATAACATTAAAAGTAACAAAATAGTTTCTCGTATTTTTAATGTATGAAATATGTATATTCGATATCAATACATTTCAAATAATAGTTATGTAAATTAGCTCATCTATTATTAAATATTCCGAATAATTTTTAATTCATAAAACATGAACATAATAAAAGCGTGGATGGAGAAGAAAGTTTTAAGTATGTAAATACTTCAAATAGTATGGCAATATGAATTATTCAACTTTTCGTATCTTAATAATATTAATACGATCAAGTAATGGCTTTTTTTGAGTAAATCGATCAAATATAGAAAAAAAGCATTCGAGCCAACGCTAGTTCTTGTTGCGAATATTTGAAAGTTGTTTATTCATAACTAATTATAATAAATCTAGACGTCTCGATGAATTACATTGTGTAATCGAACCGTTGTGCTGTAAGCATCGTACTGCTCTGGTCACAATTTCATACAGTTAACAGAGAAATTGATGGATGAACGATAATTGTGGTCAAATTGTATGGAAATGACTTCCATGCAAATATTGACCACGATTGTTGCAAGAGAATAAAAAGATAAATGTGTAACAGCCTTTTCTTGGCATAATTGAATAATTGTCAAAAGCGGAATGGCAGATGGGAAATGGAACAGATATGTATGGAGCAAAGCAGCGAGTAATATACGAACGAAAATTTAACTGATTACACTCTCAAGTTATAATTTCAACTGTATGTTATATTTTATATTTACTATCGTAATTGTAGATGGGTTTGCAAGTTTTAAGACAATTATAATGATAGGAAAACGATAAGGGAAATTTAACGACGAATTATATAAATTTTTTGTATTCAATTTGATTGTATTCAAACAACATTAAAGATGACTTAATAATGGTCGAAACGTCTAAATCTATTACAATTTGTTAATAAACAGTAGTAACAAACAACTTTAAAATATCCGCAATAAGAACCAGCGTTTGAATGCTTTTTTCTATATTTGATTGATAACTTTTGATTAAGAAATTGGACATTTTACATAAACTTCGAAATAAGCTTAAATTAAAAAATAAATAATATTCCAAACATAAGAGAACATCCAATGTCACGAGATAATTGGTGGCCCTGAAAAGGGCCGTTCTTGTAAAAGCAGTTCACTTTGAGCTCGTATATTTGGTAACGGCCTTTGTGCCTTCGCTAACGGCGTGCTTCGCCAACTCTCCGGGAAGAAGAAGCCTCACAGCAGTTTGAATCTCCCGAGATGTGATCGTCGAGCGTTTGTTGTAATGTGCCAGACGAGACGCCTCAGCTGCGATGCGTTCGAAAACATCGTTGACAAAGCTATTCATGATGCTCATAGCCTTGCTGGAGATTCCGGTGTCGGGGTGGACTTGTTTCAACACCTTGTAGATGTAGATCGCATAACTCTCCTTCCTTTTCCTCTTTTTCTTCTTGTCAGTTTTACTGATGTTCTTTTGAGCCTTGCCGGCCTTCTTCACCGCTTTACCGCTAGCTTTCGGTGGCATCGTCGTTCTCCTTGACAAAAGTTTTCGTACTTCGAATGCGACGTGACGTACACGACGTTCGAGGCTCGAGTAACAGCTCGGGTCGGGAAAAACGCGGTATATATAGCAGAAAGTGTCGCTCGAAGCGCACCAATCACGTGCGAGCGGCGTTCAGCGGCACGTCATTGGTCGGCGCTCGTGTTGCTAAGCGTTACTCACATTCCGTCTTTCTTTCTCTCGTACTCTTTCGATAGTTTTCTTTCTCAACTTCCTTAATGAAATACCTAATTATGTTATACGCTGAACCAGTCTTTTAATTTCTCTTATTATGTGTTCTGATTATTAACATATTAGATTTGACTTTATTATTAAATAATGAGTATGTAGATTTCGTCAAATGAATATTATAAAAAGAGAACAGCATCGCTATTCTTTGCGTGCTACTGATTGTAATTTAAATGTAATTTCAAATATTAACATGTTAATATGAATGGCAAATCTCAAAAAACAATACGAGCTCGTACAGATCATCGCACAACAACATTGATTGATAGATGCTTTCCAATCGTAAATTCACTAGACGATTTGAAGCACACGCCGTTACAAGGGGCGTTTTCCAGTGAAGATACACAAAGATTCACAGTGCGATACAATAAATCATTATATTTTTGTTTGTCAACATTAAACAAGAGCAAAATAATTCACTGAATTGCGTAAAAAAGCAACCGTTGAGAAGATTTATACATAATCGTTCGAGACAGACTCGATTTGTATGCTATTGAATGGATTTGTAAATAGATATAAATTCTTTCTCATATTTTATCCCTTTTTCATAAACTCTCATAATATTTATCAGAATCAAGCATGTATAAATATGTATACTTTTTACATTGCATATTAAGTGGTAGGACAATATTTTCGCCGATTGCGCATACAGTTGAGAGTGAGAAACCGGGCAAGCGTTCTGATTGGCTGACGTCGTCGTGGAGGGGAGAGCCGAGTCGAAACAGTATATAAAGGTGCCTGCGCCAGCGGTTCGTCGTCATTCGACAGTCTGTCTTTGTGTCAGCCAGTTCGTATCGTAGAGATTCAAGATGACTGGTCGCGGTAAGGGAGGAAAGGGATTGGGAAAAGGAGGAGCGAAGCGTCACAGGAAAGTTCTTCGCGATAACATCCAGGGTATCACCAAGCCAGCTATCCGTCGTTTGGCACGACGTGGTGGTGTCAAGCGTATCTCCGGCTTGATCTACGAAGAGACTCGAGGTGTGTTGAAGGTCTTCCTCGAGAACGTTATTCGCGATGCTGTTACCTACACCGAACACGCAAAAAGGAAGACCGTGACAGCCATGGACGTCGTATACGCCCTGAAACGTCAAGGCAGAACTCTATACGGCTTTGGTGGTTAAGCGAAGGACGGTGGCTCCTACAAATCAAATCGGCCCTTTTCAGGGCCACAAATATTTCAAACGTTTGAATAATTTCTATTCGCTATATAACCTTACCTGTACCTATGCATTCTTCATGATAAATAATATAACGTATAATATGATCCATGTATACTTAACTCTGCGCAGCTTAGCGCCGAGACACTACCAGTGTCTCCAGATATTGAAATATTGCCATTTAAGCACGGAAAAGTTGTCAAAATAAATTTTTAATATATGTAAATTATTGAATTCTTACTCAATTCTTCTGTGCGTTATCTGTTGATTAATTTAAATTAGATTTTCTAATGGCTTTGTCTTTATTTCGAAAAATTAAAAATTAACATTTTTAAGTATATGAAAATTGCGTATTCATAATTTATAAATATCAAGTATATTCTTTCTTTATTCCTATAGAATAGAATTTATTGCTGCTATAGTACTAAAATTACTTAAAATATGTAAGTTCGCTTCATGTAATTCTCCGTTTAAATTGGCAACTATATATATATATATATTCATAACACGATTCACATTATTGTAAATGTATTCACGCAAAATTCGATAAAATGTTCATATTGAACGTGAATAAAACATTGCAATTATATGAATACTCTCAAAAGATGAACTTCGGAAAGTTTTTGAGGTTAGGTGAACACTACGTCGATCTATAGGCAAAACTTGTTCGTGTACATAAGATGCAGAGAGTGTAGTTTTCTTATACAATTGTAAATGCAATTATTAGAATTATGATATAAGATAATTTTTAATTAGATATAGATTCTAAAACCGGCATCTACACAAACAATATAACTTGAATATTAACATTAATCCGCGTGCGTTTTTTTAACTTACAAAATTTGTATTTGTAATGAAAACGATTGGAATTGTGAATTAAATTTAGTAACAATTTTGATTATAGAATAAAATCTCAAACAACGTGCATGATCGTCCAAAAAATACATTTTATATTTTAAACATGTTTATTGTTTATTATCTAGGATAATTTATTAAGGAAATAATTTTCATGTGAAACAATTTGTAACACACACATATGAAGCATTCATGGGCTATTCTAATTTATTAATCTAAAATAAAAACTTCATTTTTGAGGTTATTTTCTTGAGAATTAAAATATAAAAACTATCAGAGTTATAACGTTAGTTTTGCACGTATTTATATTTGTTTTAAATAATTCTTAAAATTTTGAAGTTATTTGCGTCAATATTGTAAGTTACAGATCACCATGAATATTGTTACGAGGTATGCGGCATGAATCGATGCACACCGATCGCAAGTATTTCGTAACACTAGGGTGTTTTCTGTGGCTGAACTCCTCTCTCTAGTTACACTTTTGAAATTGAAGAATTTCAAATCCGATTTTATTGGAATTATGTTTAAAAAAAGTTTATTATTCAATTTTTACGTGCACTTTAATAAATAATTTATACCAAACAATCAATTCTTTTTTAAATTTTAACTACTTTTCCAACATATTACGTACACATCAAATAATACAGATAGAAAATTTCGACGAATAACGTTTTTGATGATACAATGTACGCTGGGTTTGAAGGAATTAAAGTGAAGTATGTGTACGTTTGATATTTGACGAAAACGAGTTCCAGTACAGTCTAGTACAGGAATGAAAGACCTGTGATGCGATACTAAATTCTACGATACTGATGTAAATCGTTCCAAAAATTCTGATTACTTAAAATACAAATAAATAAAAATAAATAATACATTAATACCTGAAGCTGTTTCATTTTATTTACTCAAATTATTTTTAAAAACGAGTTTAAGTTAAAATATTCTCACTTTAAAAGCGTTAAAACATTTCTCAAAATTGTTCTTTATATTGTACTTTATAAAATAAATATTTACTAACGTTTAATAGATTAACGAAATTGGTTATATTTAAACATATGGAAACATGCAACAAAAGAGACGATCCATCGTACAAAAAAAATTGGTGGCCCTAAAAAGGGCCGATATATATTTTTGTAATTAAGCACGCTCTCCACGAATACGACGTGCCAGTTGGATATCCTTGGGCATGATGGTAACCCGCTTGGCGTGAATAGCGCAAAGATTGGTGTCTTCGAAAAGACCAACAAGATAAGCCTCGCTAGCCTCCTGCAACGCCATAACAGCAGAGCTTTGGAAACGAAGATCAGTTTTGAAGTCTTGAGCAATCTCACGGACGAGACGTTGGAATGGCAATTTGCGAATCAACAATTCGGTGCTCTTTTGATAGCGACGAATTTCTCGAAGAGCTACAGTCCCAGGCCTATAACGATGGGGCTTCTTCACTCCACCAGTGGCAGGCGCACTCTTACGAGCTGCTTTAGTCGCCAGTTGTTTTCGGGGAGCTTTGCCACCAGTAGACTTGCGTGCAGTTTGCTTGGTACGAGCCATTTTTTTTTATCTGAGCGGTACAACGTTCTCGAACGGTCGTCAGAAGAAAAACGAAACGCCGTGCGTTCATGCGTACTTTTATAGGGCCCCAGTGCAACCGGCTCGACAGCGATTGGTCGCTGCATTAGTGGTGGGGATTATACAGAGTGTACAGCTAGCGCGCGCACACACACAGAGTTGTTTCTCCGCATATATTTCTAAAGACATCCCTTGTATAACATATATAACGTATATGAGAATGTAAAAAACGCATCATATTGCTTTTCAGCCTCATTTTATACATAATAACAACGATAAATCAATGATACATACAGATTATAGGAATTAACTAAATATATTGTAACAACACGTACGGAAAGAACGTGTAAAGAAAAGACGAAAAAAATTTTATGTAGCATATATTTACTTATAATATTTGTACACCGTTTCTAAATGAAATTAAAATTTCAATAAAATGTTCTTTCTAGTACCAGTATAATATATATGTTACAATATTTACATACAATATTATACTACAATTAATGTTTGATATAAGATATGATTGACGTCAATTTAAGTACCTTTGAAATTGTAAGTACCTTTGAAATTGCGTTGGGATATCAAATTGTGCATGAACAATAAAAATAATTTTAATTACTTTTAACTTAAATAAATAGCGGAAAATTTTGCGAACAAATTAAATATTTAGATCTTGCATTCCAAACTTCAAAAATAAATAAATGTCACGTTGTTTAAAATATTGACGAATCTAACATTCTCTGGTAATCATATTTGGTATAAATATTTATCATTAAATCAACCGTTTTATTAAGTTTTTATTAAATATTTAGTCTTGTTTAATTATATTAAATTTTTAACATATACAATGTTTGCATAATTTGCAACATATGCACATCATAAGCAAAGTTCTAAAATTAATAATATATTAATTAGATAACAGAAGCAAACGGATAATATTTAATGTCAAATGTCAAATATGAATTCATTTTCTGATAATTTTGCATAAAAGAATATTTTCGATTCAGATTAAAAATATGAATATTTCAATTATGATAGAATATTTTTGTCTATGCAAATTTATCTTAGATGATATATTTGTTATGTACAAATATAATATGGATGTTTTAGTTCTTTTCTTAGCTACGAGTTTTACTTATTCATTTTATGAAAATTCCAAAAAAATATCATACTACAATTACATTAAAATATATTAGATACATAACCTATCTAAAAAATCATGAAAAATGATGTGTTTGTATTTCAATTAAGATATATCATTTGTGTTATTGTTTGCATATTAATTCTATTTTTCTTTATTTTAATCAATTAAATGACAATTTGTATCTAACAATAATCTATTATAGTATCTTTACAGACGACATGAAATCTTTATCACAATACAGCACGTACTTGTTTAACATAAGCATAATTTCACATGCATTTTTATAGAGATTGTAAAACTTGGATTAGAAATAAGTTATTGTTCTTAGAAACTGTAAGTATGCCAAGAAGTTAATATTAAATGGTCACTGTAAGTATTGTTGTCAGAGAAATTATGAAACTATTTTAGACACGTACTTACACGCTAACCTATAAAACAAAAATCAATGAAATGCAGCTTTCAATATTATTTTATTTTTAATGTCATAATTCGGTCAAGTATTCACATCTGTATGCGTATATACATACATGAGCGTATGATATTCATATTTTTTCTTTATTATATGCTTCTGCTTTTAAATATGATAAATATTGGATGCTTTCTCCATTTGATGACACAAATCGACAAAAATTGATATAAGCGTCGTTCTATCTTTCTTAATTGAATATTAAGACACAAAAAGATAGAACAACATTTGTGTCGACTTATGTCATCAAATTAATGAAAGCACCCATAATATGTTGAAAATGTAATTGAAACTTTGTAAATACCAAATGTAATATCAATATTTTATACACATATTTTCATTAATTATGCAAACTATATGTAGATATGTTTTAATATAATAATTCTGTTATTAATAAAGAAAATTGTAGATACGAATATACATATATTGTATACTAGTTGTAAAATGTTAATTATAAAAATGTTAATTATAAATGTTAAAATCACTAGTTCTAAAATGTTAATTACTTTAGAAAATTTCACAAAATACATTGTAAGATAAGGAAAATCTAGTAACGCATTTTAAAAATATAAGACAGGTAAAGACGTAATAATGGTTGTTCAAGAAAAGAAGCAAGAAATTAAGTAATACATTTTAATCTATGTTTAAAACAAATTTTCCTATCTAAATTCTATAACAAAGTTCGTATTCTTCATAAACAAATATAAACAACCGAGCGTTTCAGTTGGATCGAGTGTCTCTTATACGAATACAATTTCTTTAAAATATAGATAACATTGTAAAAAATATATGTAATTTGTACTTAGAGTAATTAACTTTTTGTGTATAAATTCAACAAAGGTATACAAAATATAAAAATATGCCTATTACACTATTTTGGATAACTGTTACAAGTAATGCGCTGTTGCGCACAGGGTGACTTAATCAGCGCGCTGCGAAAAAGAATCCTTAAGTCGTTATACAGGCACAGATTCAACGTAAAAAATCATTCTATAAATTTCCAAAAACGGAAACTTGAGTACGTCATCGATTTCTGTTTCAAGATGCAAAAGCA